GGAGAAGATTTCTTTTTTTTTTTTAAGGAGGCCTCACCCTCATAAAGCTAAAGCTCCAGTCCGATGAATGGTGAACTACAAGCTTTGATGAGGGAGAATAAAGACACTCCTGACCTACAACCACCCCCCCCCCCCCCAACTTCCTCCCTGTAGACGTTTCAGATGGTTGGTTTTAACAATCATACAACTGATCAATGAGCCAACAGCTGCTGTACAAACAAAAATGCATTCAGATAATCTCACTATGTAAGGAAATCTCTGCTTCGAACAAAATATATTGTAAAGCTGGCAATAAAACAATAAACCCCCAAAACAGGATGATTAATTTTACTTAGTGGATTTGTGAATTAGATGGATAATCTCTAAAAATATAAGCACAAATCAGCAGATTTTTTGTAAATACTCGAGGATGCACTCATTGCTTGACAAAACACCAAAAATTATCCTTCAAAAACGGTAAATATCAGCATAGAATACTGTGGCAACGCATTCATCTGAACCAAAGGGATCGTCTGACGCATCTTAAATCTAAACAGTAAAATGCGTCCAGCAACCACAAGGCAACGTGATATTATAACGAAGCGCCTACACTCCCAACATTCAGAGTGTGAGGGTAAACATTAGCTCCAAGCAAGAAAAGAGGAACTCATCAAAACAATATGTTACGTAGCAAGGAACCAGGGATGGAAACAGAAAAAAAGATGCACGCCTCTTATGTTTGCTTGTGGCAACGTTCAAACAGAAAATATCCACAGCAGCGGTGGCAGCAGAGTCGCTCATTGATCAAACAGAAACATTTTTTTTCAATTTTTACTGGAAGCCAAAAATCAGCGTCGATCCATTCAGCTATAAAACACCTCCTGCGCCCACACAGCTGAGTTCATTCTGTCTGGATTAAAAGCTATATCTGTAAACAGCATCAGCACCGCTGTGAAGTGATCCTTTCACTGTGGAGTGTGGAAGAGGACAGACAGGACATGAGGAGCATAAATCTCAGGTGGTGACATTAGGACTCAGAAGAATAATGAAGGTCTTCTTCCAGGCAAAAACACATTTGTGCAGTCTTTAAATATAATCCACACCAACACCAAATTAATTACGTTAATATTCCACAGCTACTTTATCCTGGTCCTGGAACAGTCTTTTTTAGCCGTCATCAGGCAGAAGTGTTGTGGAAGCTGGATTGGCCAAAGAAAACCCACTAACATACAAACTTTAGATTAAACATTGCACCTGAGATTCATACCAGAACTAACTTTTGTGCCACAGAGATGAAATAGGAACATTATTTTGTGTTAGGTTGGCTAATTGTTCAGACACTGTCAGAGAATTTTCTGTCAAAGTTTATGAATGTTTTTATTGTTATTATTGGGGCTGAGAACGTTTTTCCCTTCTGCCTAGAGAACAAGCTGCTCGATTGTCTCCCAAATTACTGTCTTACCTTGAATTGGAGGCCTACTCACGATAATATTACTTCAACTCCCATGAACCGTATTTGTGCAGACAGGGTGTTGTGGGATGAGCTGCAGCTGTTTCAAGGAACACCCACTGAACTCCACTGAGCTGATAAGGTTATAAAAGTCAGCGAATAACAGTTCTCGGCTGATTCTGTGACAATGTTCCCATGCATGTATGTAACCTGTCCTGAATGCAGTCCTTGCAAGTAAAAGCCAGTTAAAAATCTTCACAGGCAGTGGTTCTTTTGAGTAAACAACGTTGGTGAATGAGAGAATTTCTCCAACAGACATCCAAATGAATTGTCTAGAACCTGAACAGTTTACAGACATAAATTAGATTTTCCGCAAAAAATAAATAAATTATAATAACCCCTTTCACAAAACACCAAGCCAAACCTGAGACATCCTATTGTTGACTTGGTGGGTTTTATGAAAGGACAGAGGTGGTTAAAGTCATCTCACATCTGTTACACTTCTGAGCCATTAAGCAAGACCGAGTATTAATGGTCAATGTGTTGTGATGTGAATATATGGAGGACCCAAACTACAGACTGTAGCAGAGAAAAGGATTAAAAACTTAACTACAGAAATTGCATTTCCTGCAAAAATGCAGTGTGAATGCTATGAACTTGCTGAAAAAACAGCTTAAAATTTTAAACAGTTTAAAAACATGCTGAAATGCAGCCAAAAAGGAAGAACAAGCCTAAGCTAGTAGAAAAAAGCAGAGGAACACATGTTTGCTGAATTTGGTTTAAATAAGCATACATGAGCACAGAAATTAGTAAAATAGCTTTAAAAGTTGAAATTAGCAAAAAATTGCTGAAAAGTAGCTTCTCTCGCAAGCTCTCAAAGGGGGTGCACACATTCCTTCCCGCTCCATTTCCCTCCTGCTTTATTTTTTTGCTCTTTGTATAGAAGTAGCTCCTTTTTTTGTTTTTGTTTTTTTGTTTTTTTTTACACATCTCCCGAAATGGAAACTACTGTTTTGGATCTGACCAAATGGACTTTTGACGTATATTACAAATTCTTTCAACAAAGCGATAGGGTCCTGGAGAACCCTCATCTGCTCGGA